TATATATATATATATATATATATATAAATATATTAATTAATTAATTAATTAATTATAAATAAATAAATAAATATATAAATACGCATATTATGATGTATTATATGCATATATTATTTATTTATATAATAAGGAATAATTATACGCACGTTACCTCTTAGCCATCGCCATCCTGTATATAAATATTAATTAATTAACTAATTAATTAATTAATTATATTAATATATATAAATATAAATATACAAATAAATACGTATATTATGATATATTATACAGCAGCAGCAGCAAACAGCAGCAAACAGCAACAGCAGCAGCAGCAGCAGCAGCAGCAGCAGCAGCAGCAAGACACGTACCTCTTGAGTAACAAAAGGATTAGGACCATCAGCTAATAATAATAATATAACATCATCATAACCATCACCACAATCAGCAGCAGAAGCAGCAACAAGAACAAACAGCATCAGCAGCATCAGCATCAGCATCAGCATCAGCAGCAGCAGCAGCAGCAGCAACCTACTTCCTTAGCAACAAAAGGATTAGCACCATAAGCTAATAATAATTTAACCTCCGTAAGAAGACCCCAAAAGACAGAATAAAAAAGAGGAGAAGGAAGACGAGAAGAAATGATGAATAATTCAGGGGAAGCACCATTCTCTAATAGTAATTGCATCTGCAACAGCAACAGCAGCAACAGCAGCAACAGAAGCAGCAGAAGCAGCAGGAGATGGGGTAGCAGCAAGAGGAGAGGGAGGGGGAGAAACAGCAGAAAAAACGGCAAAAAATGAGGGAAGATACGTCCAGCAGCAGCAGCAACAGCAGCAGCAGCAACGGCAGCAGCAGCAGCAGCAGAAGCAAGTATGTAGACAGCAGCAGAGACAGCAAAACAGCATACAGCCCTTCGTGCAGCACCATCAGCCATTACTATTGCTGCTCCTCCTCTTCCTCCTCCTCTTCCTCCCCCTGCTGCTGCTGTTGTTGTTGCTGCTGCTGCTGCTGCAGTATAATTGGGGTGTATAGGGAGACTTACTAGTGCTGCGTTACGATTGTTTGCTGCATGCAGCAGCGCAGGTGTATCGTCACCTGCGCATACAACAACTGGATGACTAAGTGCAGCAGCAGCAGCCTCTAGATCCCCTAATGATGGCATACTTCTTGTTCCTCTTGCTGCTGCTGCTGCTGCTGCTGCTGCTGTTGGTGCTGCTGCACCTGCTGCTGCTTGTAATGGTAAGGGGGACGGGTATTGGGGTGGTTTTTTACATGTTAATACTGCTGCTGCTGCTGCTGCTGCTGCTGCTTGCCGCTGCTGTACAGGAGGGCAACAATTAAGGGCATAAGCAGCAAGACGTTTTGCTGCTGCTGCTGCTACTGCTGCTGCTGCTGCTTGGCAACGGGCCTTAGCTGATAAAGGGATGGGGGCCTCTGGGGCCCCCCCAAAGGCTAAGAGGAGACGAACCTTCTCTTCTGCTGCTGCGCCGCATGCAGCAGCAACACTTAGTGCTGATAGTCCGTGCTGCAGCACACAAACAGCAGCAGCAGCAGCAACAGCAATGTAATGCAGCAGTCTAGCTTTTCTCTATACAGTGTACTGAGCTGCAGGTGCTGCTATGTGTGTCGATGCTGTTCCTGCTTCTGCTGCTGCTGCTGCTGTTGCTGCTGCTGCTGCTGCTACTACGAACCCGCATGCAATTAGGGTTTGCGCCACGCTGCAGCAGCCGCTGCAGCACTGCTGGCGAGCTAGCAGCAGCAGCAGCAACAAGAAGTTTCCCTGCAGCAAAAAACCCTCAAGCACAAACCCTACATCTTTACATACCTAGCAGCAACCATGCTCGAGGGTTTAGGGTTTAGGTAGGGTTTAGGGTTTAGGTAGGGTTTAGGGTTTAAGGTAGGGTTTAGGGTTTAGGGTTTAGGGTTAAGGTAGTTGTTATTATTGTACGTTTTATTGTATGTAGGTAAGGTATTGTTAATTATTTTAGTGTTTATTATTGAATTAGGGTTTAGGGTATAATTAGGGTTTAGGGTATAATTAGGGTTTAGGGTATAATTAGGGTTTAGAGTTTAGGGTTTAGGGTTTAGGGTTTATATACCTGGTTGTAGAGACAATTCAGCAATAAGATGATGAACAGCAACATCATGACAATAAAGGAGACAAACTTCTCCTACTAGCAGCAGAGGAAGGGACTTAAGTCTACGCAGCAGCAGCTGCTGCTGCTCTGTGTCTCCTCCTTTTCCTCCTCCTGTTGCTGCTGTTCCTCCTCCTCCTGCTGCTAATGTTGCTGCTGTTGCTGCTGTTGATGCAGCAGCAGCAGCTGCTGCTGCTGCTGCTGCTGCTGCTGAACCCTCTAAAGGGAATAACCAACCCTCAGGGAGGGGCCCCCAACCACGACGGGGGGCCTTCGGTCGCTGCAGCACAGCAGGGAGGGGGGCCCCTCCTTTTTGTTTAGAGGGGGCCCCCTTAGTGTTGCTGCTCTTGGTAGCAGCAGAACCATTTGTTCCTGCTGCTGCTGCTGCTGCTGCTGCTGATTTCTGCACACATAGATGGGTGAATCCTGCTGCATGCTCCCCGTCAGCATCATTGCTGCTGCTGCTGTTGCTGCTGCTGCTGCTGCTGCTGGGGCTCTGCTGCAGCTTAAAGAAAGCAGCAGAAGGCCAACCCTCATCTACGCTGCAGCCATGAGAGAAAAGGATCTGCAGCAGCAGCATGTGCTGCTCCTGCTGCTGCTGCTGCTGCAGCTGCAGCGCCGCATACACCACATGCAGACATGCTGCATCCCCAGCAAACGCTAGCGCATCCGCCTGCATGCAAAAACACAGAAAAGAGACACACACATTAGCAGCAGCAGCAGCAGCAGCAGCAGCAGCAGCAGCAACAGCAGCAGCAGCAGCAGCAGCAGCATACCTGTTGGGGCCCCTTATTATTTTCCTGCAGCAGCTTGAGCAGCAAATTGGCATTTTTATTTCTTATTGCGCGCAGCAAACGAACAGCAAGGGCCCTAGAGGGGGCCCCCCTACTTATACCTGAGCAGCGTCCCTGGTACCCTTTTTGTTGGTTGGGGGGCCCCCCCCCTTGTCTACGGGGGGGGGCCCCTCTTGTATACGGGAAGGATTGCTGCTGATGCTGCTGCTGCTGAGCACTGCAAAGAGCACAAGAAGGAAACTGCAGCGCAGCAGCAGCAGCAGCAGCAGATGCAGCAGCAGAGCTACTCGGCCCTGCACCCATCACTATATACAAGAGGGGCCCCTGGGGGCCCCCCAATTAGTCATACTAAACCCCCTAAGGGGGTGTTTATAGAGAGTCCCTGCTGCTGTTGCTGTTGCTGCTGTTGCTGCTGCTGCTGCTGCTGCTGTTGAAGAAGAAGAACAGCAGCAGAAGATGCAGCAGAATTATTGTCCCTAAAACCCTCCCCCTTATTATTACGCACAAGAATTAGGGTTTAGGGTTTAGGGTTTAGGGCCTTAGCTGTCTCCTAGCGAGACGATTAGGGTTTAGGGTTTAGGGTTTAGGGTTTAGCAGAGAGAAGAGAGAAGAATATAAAAGGAGACAAGAAAAGGAGACAAGAAAAAGAGATACACAAAGGGGACAGAAGAAGGAGACAGAAAAGAGCAGCAGCAGCAGCAGCAGCAACAGCAACAGCAGGAGACACAGGCCCTCGTGTGTGCTGCTGCAGTGTGCCTCAGCTGTCGGCGCAGCTACAGCAGCAGCAGCAGCAGCAGCAGCAGCACAACAGGAAACAAATATAAACTAAATAAATATATTTACTTATTTATATAAAAAAGAAAAGAAGATAAATTAACAAAAAAAGATAATAGAAGAGAGAAGAGGGGCCCCTCTGCTGCTGCTGCTC